CTTTTCTTATAATATGCGGGGTTTCACATCTATCATCTCATTTCATCTTGGCGACTACCCGGTGAGGTGGAATCTATTGGGGACTCAGAAAGTGGAGCCGAGGAAAGCTCACCAGCGTCCTCTAAATGCAGACGTCAGGGTTCAGAGTCCGGGGCCCATGCTCGGTTTGATGAACTTCGTCTTCAGATCCTGTGATCACATTCATGTGAACATATCCGCTGAAGAAATGCATAGCAGTAGCATTTTCAACAATGTGTAATTCCCACTTATACTTCCCAGCCCTTCTCATTCAGCCTGAGGGTCTCACAGGAACTGTCGGCACCATTTTATAGCTGGGAAAACTGGATTTCAACAGACCACCTTGCTAGCACTTCTAAAGTACTGAGTGAGGCTTTTCCATTGCCAAGGGCATAGCAGATCTTTGGGGGTGGGGGAGTGCGGGGACCAGGATAAGCATCTCCATCTCCCTAGGCCGGATCGGTTTGTGACAAAGTGTTAGCGAGGGGATGTATACGTAAGTGTAGATGGCTTTCAGCTTTAAAAGCTCATCTTCCTCCATAACTAAACCAGGCCTAGTGAGATGCAGATACATAAATATCTTCTCTATGCCCTGTCCCAGGGGAAAGATAGAGCCAAGTAAATCCGATTAGCTTCCCCGGATGCTGGCTACTCTCTCTCTTTGAAGTCCAGTGGGTGAAGATAATGCCATTTCCACAAGGAAGAAGGCATTTCAGAGGGTTGGCGCGTGGGTCCTCAGTGCAGAGTACCGGCCAAGCACAGCTGAGCAGAGTGGACACTGGGCCCCAGGCTTCCAAGCCACTGTCCTTATCCCCGCTCCCACGTCTACTCCTCCCCAGCGACCCCACCCCCGAGGCATTCCCAAATAGGACTTCTTCACATCTTGATTTAGTGAAGATCGCTGGCAGGGAGGTGATCTTGGCAGCCAGCTGGCCTATGGGCAGAGGGTCAGGTGAGATGGCATAAAGAGATCGTTCCTAATTAGAAGATGAATGTGTGTCTTCAAAATGTGGTTTGGGGAAGTAATGTGTACTCTGAGCATGCATGTGCGTGCGTGCGTGCGTGCGTGTACTCTCAAAAGAGATTGAGAGTGGTCTTGATGGACCCTCGTGAAACTGATCACTCTCTGCAGGCCACCCCCCACCCCCAACAACAACGAATTAAAAACCATCTCCCTGTCATTGAGTCGATGCTGACTCACAGCAACCCCATAGGACAGGGTTGAACAGCCTCAGTGAGTTTCATCGATGGTAACTCTTTACGGGAATAGAAAGCCTTGTCTCTCTCCCTTGGAGCTGCAGGGAGTTTTGAACTTTGGACCTTGCAGTTAACAGCCCAGTGTAGAACCAGTATGCCGCCAGAGATCCCGGTGGGACTTCCAACAACTGGCTGTATTGGTGGCAGACAGCAATCCTGCACCTGCCTTCAGTCCCAGCAACATCCTTTTCGCCCAAGACTCTCTGCCCCACCACTGGAATTGTTTGCCGGCGCCATTTCCCAGCCCAAAGGGCCTTTTCTCCCTGTTCCCCAAGGACAGGGAGTATCTGGGGCACCAGCCTTTGCTCCCTTTTGGCATCAGAGCTTCCCCGGGAAAATCCTAGCCTGCCTGGCTTGAGAGAAATAGCCAAGTAAATGGAAAAGGCTTAGGAAGCTCTTTCCTATTGGAGCAGGTTGGGAGCCTGCTTAGTGAGGCATGCGGGAAGATTTTCATCATTGTTTGCAAATGTAGTTAATTTGGTTCCAAAATGTCTGCAAATGCAGTCGGTGGGAAATTTTTCAAAAATTCTGGAATCCCTTTTAAAAAACAAAGCAACCACAACAATTTTAAAAAGCAAAACAAAAAGCAGTTCCTAGGCATACCCGTAACATTTACCCATGATCTTCCAAGCTGCTTCAAAGTTAGAAGGATTCTACACATTACTTCCCAAAACCACATTTTGAAGACCCTGCTACTGCAAGTTGAATTCTTCCTCCTGACCCGCCCACTAGGTCTGACAGGCGACTAGCCAACAGAATCTGAACATCTTGCCTCTCTCTCTCACTCTCTGTCTCTCTCTGTCTCACACACACACACACACACACACACACACACACACTCTCTCTCTCTCTCTCTCCCTCTCTCTCTCTCTCCATTATGCCTCAGCCTCACGTCTAATCTAAATTAGAAGTCTAATTTATCACACTCAGAGGGCTGTTTCTGGTCACGTCCATCAGGTGCCTGGCCTTCCCGACAGTGGCGCTCCGTTTCGTTGTTTGTGTTGTTTTCCACTTGGCTATAAATCTCTGAGAGCTTCTTTCAGCACCCACGGGGAGTGGAAGCAAAGCGCAGTACAGAGAAAGTTTATGAGTTGGCAGTGTGAGTGACTAGCTCCTAAACAGGGGCCCCTCTGTGCTGGGCCTCCCTGTGCTACTGCCTCAGCGTCCGCACACCCTGCTCGCCTACAAGCAGAGGGACACCATTAGTGGTCCCCCAGGTCCATCTAGGCCAGCATGTCCCTAAGTGAGGTGGTACTGGAGCAATCTAGGAGGGCTGCAAAAGCAGATACCTACACGTTATCCTGGATTATGGGCTTTAGTACATAAGAGTTTAATTTCCAGGTGGGGGCTGAGTTGATTTTTTTTTAAGGGGACAGTGGGCCAAATGAGTTTGGGAGCCTGTGATCAAAGCATTCCCGATGGCACTCTGTAGGACATTTCCTGGGGATCCAGTTTTTGATCAATCCCCAGACTCCTTACCATTCCAGGTTAATCTTCATGAAATTCCAGAAACAATGATCACTCCCAGTTGGTGAGAGGATCAGACTACTCCTCTAGTCTTGTGAAGTCCTGAGGCCAGGGCTTGACATTCATCTCTAAAGAATCCAGAAAGTTGAAACTAGAAGGAAACTTGGAGATCTTTCCAGCTGTTGCTTTTTGTCTGTATTTCCCATTTTTACTTCCACAAACAGTGACCAAGAGTCTAATGCGGGCAAGGCACGGGGCTACGACCTGAGGGTGTAGGGGCAGAGTGAAACACGGCCTCATCCTCAGGGAGCTCCCGGCCCAGAGAGGAGGCTGGGTATGATCTGGGAGAATGGCCGGGCCCAGCCTGAAGGCAAGGGCAGGGAACGATGGGTCGGGAAAGGCGGTCCAGAGCGGTTCTACTGAGCTGAGTTTAGAAACTGGGCTCACAGGCAGTCAGCTCAAAAGGAGCTGAGACAGGACAAGGCCAATAGGAGGCAGAGGGAGTAGAAGCAGCTTGCTCAAAGGACCAGAAGTTGATAAGGGGTCAACGCTGGCTCATGGTGACATCTGTCACAGAGTGGTGCTCTACAGGGTTCTCCAGAGCTGGTTTTATAGAAGTAGATGCCAGTCCTTTCATGCAAGGTGCCTCTGGGTAGACTCAAACTGCCTCCTTTTAACTTAGCAACTGGGCACATTAACCATTTGAACTGTGTAGGAGGAACCCAGGCGAGGGAGATGGTACCTCCCAAGTTAAGCCTCAGTTCAGTATAACTTCTCAGTGAGGTGCAAGATCAGCCAGGGGGAAAGGCAGGCAGGGCTTCCAGTGATGACGGCCTTGCCGGTGACGCCTAGAGAAGCGAAGCCGGGCTGGAGCCCAGCCTGGAGGAACAGGCCTGCAGCTGGTCCTATTGCTCACCACCGCCTGGGTCATACGAGGTTTCTTAACAAACGAGGGGCTGTCTCTGGCACGAGGAGGGAGGAGGAGACTTTATTTTCTGGAACGATCCCAATACCTTGTGGGAAGTTAGCACTCCTGGCTCCAGGCCCCGAATGCCTGGAGCACCTTCTGTGTGTGTTGGAGTAACATCTGCCCCAAACCAACCAGTAGGCCAAATGCACTGCCTTTGAATGATTCCGACTCATAGCAACCAGGGCAGAGTCAAACTGCCCCTCTAGGTTTCTGAGGCTGAAACTGTTTTATAGGAGCAGAAAGCCTCTGTTTTTCTCCCAAGGTGTGGCTGGTGGTTTTGAACTGCTGGCCTTGCGGTTGGCAGCAAAATTCGTAACTACGCCACATCCACCCCACATATTTCCAGCAGCCCCCACTAACAACCACTACCCAGGTGCAGGGAGCAGGGAGAGAGAGGGGCACCCTGCAGAGAGTTCCCTGGAGAGAGGGAGCGATGTTCGAGTGGAGCTGGTGTCCACATCCTAGCTGCCAGGAGTGAGCAGGTTCGGGTCTCCCCCAGCCCCAGGGGAGACATAGAGAGGGCACTAGCCGGTGGCCCAGAGGCTGGAGTTGTGGGAGGTGGGAATTCGACTTCCAAGGAAGAAGCAGCATCCAGGGATGGAACGGAATAAAACCCACCACCTCGTCTCACTTTCTCTCTCTGGTGGTCCTTCCGAAAGCCCCTCCCTACCAAGGCTTTCTTTTGGGGGGTTTTGTTTTCCAAAGCAACGTAGCGTTCACGCAGGGTCTGGTAATGAAATGAGATAAAAAGGCCGAGCCAGTGTTCAGAGCATCGCCGGGAGGGCTGAGCCACCTCCTGGAAAGCCCCGCGCAGTGGGAGCTGGGGAAGCTGACGTGGCCGATAACAGGGCGCCTCGGGCACTGGGCAATGCCCGGGGCAGAGGAGCTGGAGCTGGGTAATGAGATGAAACTGAGAGGTAGGGGTCTCCGGGGGCCAGGGACAGTGGCGCATGGAGGCTCTTTTATCCTGTGTCTCAGGAGATAAAAGTCCACAGCCTGCCACATTGGTGCTTTAACATTAATTCCTAAATTGTTAACATGCACACCAGATACAGAACAACTCGGGGGATGGCAAAGACCATCTCTAAGCCCCGGGAGCGAAGAGAGAGATCTCCTTCTCTCAGCTGAGTCCACGTGGCTCTCCAGTGAAGTGATGCCCTCCTTGTGGGCAGCCCACCTGCACACAAGAGGGTCTGGCCTGACCTCGGGGTCCAGCCCCCACGGTGGCTCAGGTGAGGCGGCGAGTGTTTGCCGAGGACAGACGGAACCTCTCTGGTTGCCCCTCCAGGACTGTCCCCAGCTAGTGCCCACGGAGGAAATCCTGATACCAGTCGGGGAGGTGAAGCCCATCACGCTCAAGGCGAGGAATCTGCCCCAGCCTCAGTCTGGCCAGCGGGGCTACGAATGCGTCCTGAACATCCAGGGAGCCGTCCACCGGGTGCCCGCCCTGCGCTTTAACAGCTCCAGCGTCCAGTGTCAGAACAGCTCGGTAAGAGGACTCCCAGGACCACGCCCAAGCCTCAGCCTGGCCTGCCCAAGCTGCTAGGGCTTTCCAGGCCCACAGACAGGCCCCACTTCCCCAGGGACAGAGGAGTCTGCAAGCCCTCCGGACCCCTCGGCCAGAGCAGAGCAGGTGAATGCCGTCTGAGGGGGCCAGGTGCTATGAGGGTCCCCGTGGCCAACACAGAGAGTTTTATGTCCCTCCTGAAGTGTGGCCTTTGGTGAAACTTCAGCCTGAGGATCAGCTGTACCCCAAATCGTGTCACACTGTCAGGGTGTGAAGGAACTGGAGGGTCTACCTAGGTGGGGGGCTCGGTAGAAGCAGGATGGAGTGAGGTGAGGTTGACGCGCAGAGAAGGAGGGGGGGCTCGAGAGCAGTGAGGGTTAAACCAATCCTGAATGCCAGACAGAAAGCCATGAGGTGTTTAATTATAATACCAGCCCCAAGAAGATCTTTCTATCTGCCAAGTCCCTGTCTCTGACTGTGGGGGGTCAGTGCGGAGATGTGGGGAGTGGGGGAGGGTGGGAGTGGCGTGACAAAGGTGTTGAGGGAAGCTAATTCGCCTGAGAGAGATAAAGAGAATGTGGGCCTCTTATCAGGGAGCTGTCAGATTCCCGGGTCATGGGCGCTTGGTAGAATTTGTAATCGGTGGAAGGCCGCCAAGCGCTAGGGGAAGGTGGATGAGAAAGGCCCAGAATGCAACAAAGGGAGGAAGGGAGGCAGGAAGGGCTTGGGGCAGAGGTGCTGACAGTGGCATGCCCTCAGGAGCTAAGTGGCCAGGCTTGGGCTAGTCCCCATGGAGAGGATTCAAGGGGGAGACGCACCTTCACAGAGGTACAGGGGGCAGGGACACCTAGACAACGTGTGAGAGGCTGAAACAGCGTGACCCGGGAAGTTGATTCTGAACTTGCCGCCTCTCATGGTGGACCTGCTCAGAGCCGTACCCAGAAAGCTGTGGGCACTTTCCCACGTGGGTTGTGGACCAAAGTCAGGCTCATAGGCAGACATAGGGGCCCACCTCAGTCCTGGCTATCCACCCTTCAACTCTGCTCCAGGATCCTGGGGGTCCACAGAGCCGTAAAGGGGCATCATCGACTTGGGGACTTCTAGAAAGATTGGATTCCTGCTTGCAGAGCAGCCAGCAGGTGGTGGGAAGTGCCTCCCTGAAGACAACAGAGCCAGGAAAGTCAGGGGAGAGAAGTCCTCAGAGATCCCTGTGGAAGGAGACCTTCATGAAGGTCTGAGGTTGGGTTAATGGCTGGAGGTGAGAGTGAAAGGGGGTATCCCTCCTGAGACAGGAACGGAACAAAGACACAGAGAGGGCCCCAGCAGGTGCTTGGACAGACAGGTAGATGCAGAGAGGAATAGATGAGAAGACCCGGGAAGTCAGCTGGGTTCGATTAAGGAGGCCCTGAATGTTGGGTGGGATGCTGTAGCATCAGCTGCAGGGTGTCAGAGGACCAGCACCATCCGATCATCTGAGCAGCCCCTGGGCTTCCCCGGTAGAGGGAAACATGTTGGCCCTAGGGTCTTTCCTTCTAGCATCTGGATCTCCAAGACAGATGCTGGCAGCATGCCTCCCCTCCTCCCCCCCACCCCCGCCCCACCCCCACCGTGACAGAGCCTCACAGGCCTTGCACCTCTGTCCCTCTCCACGCAGTACCAGTACGACGGGATGGATATCAGCAACCTGCCTGTGGACTTCGCCGTGGTGTGGAATGGCAATTTCATCATCGACAACCCTCAGGACCTGAAAGGTAAGTGGCTGTTTCCTGGCGGGCAGTGTTTTGATCTTTGCTGGGCCGTGGACTGGAAAGATGAGAGCGGGCCGCCTCTGTGGCATGAACAATATGTGGCGTCTGTCTGCAGCATGTCAGAGGATCCTAAAGCAACATTTGGAGCCATCAAAGGAGGCCTGTCAGGAGCCCTGTTTTATTACAACCAGAGGCTCCGCTGACCGGCCCGCTGGCTGCTGGCTCAGCGGTGGGATTCTTTGGCTCCTGGAGGCTTTGAAGTACCTGCAGAAGCTGACCTAGGAGAACAGCAGGCAGGGAAGCCCCGCCAGCTGCCCCAGAAGGGAGAGACTGTTCCCTGTCCTTGGCCTCAGTCACTGCACAAAGAAGGCTTCTGATGCCGCGGCTCTCCTAGCCCCTCAGCAGGACCAGCCCACCGACTCAAGCTCACATCTGGAGCAAAGAGGCGCAGGAGGGGGCTTGGGCGGAAGCCAGAGGGGCTCTCCGTGGGGGCAACCTTGGCTCAGAGGAACACACCTCCTCCTTGCCTGCTGGGCTCCTCAAATCTCCAACAAGGGCACACTGCCCTCATTCTCCAGGGCAGTCACGACCCTCCAGATCCGAGAGATGCCCTGCTCGAGAGCCTTCCATGTGAGCAGTGTGGCACCCCGGGGGTTGGGGAGTCCCTGTTCCCCTTCCCAAGTGATCGATGAGGAAACAGAGACCCAGAGAAGCTGAGCAGGGGGCTGAGAGTCAGAGACGGGGCCAGGATGGGAGCCAAACTAGCCCTGTTTCAGAGCCTAAGTGCTTAACTGCTCAGCCCACTGAGATTTGAACTCTGGTCCTTCATCCTTGACTCCACCCACCTCCACCCTAACTAATCTCACCCTGGTTAAGAACACCAGGCACCGCATGTCATAGAGCTAGGGGTGTTGTATGCCTCTCCTTCAGTCTGAGGTCACCTCGTGGGCACGGAGAGGGGACGGAGGCCCCAGGGAAGTCTGCGCACCTTTCAGCGTGTGTGGAGCTGCAGCCGAGTCTCAGCTCTGCTGTTCAGCTTGGTGCTCCTGGGGCGAGGACAAAGAACCCGAGCGTGGGGATGCATTTTCTGTTTTTACCTTCTTTCTCTCTCCCCCCATACTCGGGCCAGATTTCTTGACTATTGAGAGAGAGAGAGAAGACATTTCTCCTACTGAGAATCTGGGCTGAGTTCCCAGAGGTTGTCTCTGCACCTGGAGCTTAGAGAAAAACAGCCCTCTCGAAGCTGTCACGTCAAAACCTCACCGGTGGCTCCCGGCAGCTTTTAAGAAGCTCCTCAAGTGCCTGGGCAGCGGGGACTTCCCACTCCCATACCACCCAGAGCCTGGGTCCCATGAGGGTGTAGCGAGGGCCAAGGCGAGGAAGCCCTTGGCTTCTGGAGTCCGTCACACCAGCGCCTAGAACCTTGCTCATTCACCAACAGCACCATGCACATAGACTCGGCGCCTCTCTGCCTCGAAGGTGTCCTTCTCTGTGAAATGAGGGTCACAGGGTCATCATGAACATCCCATTAACCAGTGGACATGGACCACTTGGCAGACGTCAATGCATGTTTAGTGTATCCTTGCCCTCTTGGGGGACATACCCTCCATCCACAGGGTCACCCTCCTTTCCTGCCAGCTCTGCTCCCCACATGCACTGCCAGCCACCCAATCTCTTTACACCCACGCTGACTTCCGTCCCCCAAACAAGAAAACAGAAGTAACCTGTTGGCATTCAGTCACTTGGGACTCATGACTTCCCCTGAGCCCCAGAGCGTCTCAGTGGCTATGGTTTTTCCAGAAACTGCAAGCCTTCTCTTCCACTGGATGGGCTCAACTTGCAGTTAGTAGCTGACTGCTAAACCATTTTCACGACACAGGGATGCTTCTCCGAGACCTGTGCTATGTTCAGTGCACCATGCAAGCTATCTTCTGAGAACCCATAAAGTCTCAGCAAGGCAGAGTGGGGTTTCAGGATTCCAGTGTGGGCCAGGAACCATCGTCCTTTCTGAAGCACGGGCCTCAAACCTCTCTGAGCTTTTCATTTACTTGCAGAGACAAAGCGAGTCTCCCTAGCCCCGCTCCACCCCACCACCCCCCAATCTGGCAATGAAGACTGATGAGAGAGTTAGGGCAGCAGTTGCCTAAGAATATAATCTGAGGGCTGAGACAATACAATTGTTATCACTGAGATAGTTCAGACTCATTGTGATGCTATGGACAACCCAACTGAACAGCACACTGCCAGAGGATAAGAATGTGCTCCACACTCTTATGTGTGAGCTCACCCGTGCAACTATTGTGCCCATCCATCTTGTCCAGGACCTTCCTTTTTAAGGCTGCCCCTCCAGGGACTGGCCTCTCCTGATAGCATGGCCAAAGTATGGGAGACAAGGTCTCGCCAGGCTTGCCTCTAAGGGGCATTCTGGTTATACTTCACACAAGACCCACCTGGTTGTTCTTTTGGCAGTCCATGGTACTTTCCCTGTTCTTTACCGACAACATAGTTCAAATGTGTCCGCTTGTGTTCAGTCTTCCTTATCGAATGTCCAACTTTCACATGCACATGCGGTGACTGAAAATACCATGGCTTGGATCATGGCTTAGTCCTCAAAATAACATCCTTGCTTTTCTACACTTTAAAGAGGTCTTGCCCAGCAGATTTACCTAATGCATTGTGTCCTTTGGTCTCTTGACTTCTACTTCCGTAAGAATTGGTTGTGGACCGGAGCCAGCTGAAATCCTTGACAACGTCAACCTTTTCTCCATTTATCATGATGTTCCCTATTGGGTCACTTGTGACGATTTTGGTCTTACTTAGACTGAGTTGTAATCCATACTTAAGGATGCAATCCTTGATCTTCAATCGGGAGGGCTTCAAGTCCTCCTCGCTTTCAGCAAGCAGTGTTGTGCCACCTGCATGTCGCAGCTTGTTAATAAGCTTTCCTTCCACCCTGATGCCACGTTCTTCTGCATATACTCCAGACTTCTCTGTTGATTTGCTCAGCATGCAGATTGAAGAAGTATGGTGAGAGGATGCAACCTTTCCTGATTTTAAATCATGCAGTACTACTTGTTCTTTTCCCACAATTGCTTTTTGATCCAAGTTCAGGTTTCACAGGAGCACTTACAAGTGTTCTGGAATCCCTATTCTTCTCAAGGCTATCCATAGTTTGCTTTGGTCCACACAGCCCAATGCCTTTGGATACGCAATGAAAACACAAATAGACATCGTTTGGGTATTCTCTATTTCCAGCCAACATCCATCTGATGTCAGCAATGATACCTGTTGCTCCACGTCTCTCTTCCCCCTCTTGTCTTTTTAATGACCTTTTGCTTTCTCCATGTATGATGTTCTCAATGTCCTCCCACAGCTCATCAGTTCTTCTGCCGTTAGTTTTCAGCGCATCAATTCTGTTCTTGAGATGTTCTCAAAGCTCGAGTGGGATAGACTCAAGGTTGTATTTTGGCTTGAGTGGATTTGATTTCATTTACTTCAGCTTCAACCTTGAACTTACATATGAACAACTGATAATCTGTTCCACAGTCAGCCCCTGGCCTGGTTTTAGCTGCGGGCAGTGAACTTCTTTTCTTCCCACACATGTGGTCAATTTGATTTCTGTGTATTCCATCTGGAGAAGCCGCGTGTATAGTTGCCTTTTGTGTTGTTGAAAACAGCTATTTGGTGTGAACAAGGCATTAGCCTTGCAAAATTCTATCATGTAATCTCCAGTTTCATTTCTGTTACCAAGGCCAGATTTTTCAACTACTGCTCATTCCTGTTGAGTTCCAACTTCTGCATTCCAATTGCCAATAATTACCAATGCATCTTGATTGCATGTTTGATAAATTTCAGACTGAAGAGGTTGGTGGAATTCTTCAATTTCTGCCTCATTAGCTTTAGTGGTTGGTGCACAAATTTGAATAATAGTTACATTGATTGGATTTCCTTGTATTCAAATAGATAGTATCCATCACAAACAGCACTGTACTTCAAGAGAGATCTTTGAAGTGTCTTTTTGTAGGGTGAATGAAGAGTCATTCCCCTTAAATGTGTCATTCCCGGCACTTTAAGCCATATGGTTGCCTGATTCAAAACGACGGACACCAGTCCATTCCAGCTCTCTTAAACCTAGAATATCGATCCGTGTGCCTTCCCTCTCATTTTTAGCAACTTCTGATTTTCCTAAAGTCATACTTCGTACATTCCATGGTTCAATTTTTAATTGATTTTTGCAGCTGTTTCTTCTCATTGTGAGCCTTGCCCCCTTGGTAAATGAAAGTCCCAAAGGCTTTCCTCCACCCACCTGAGTATGATCGCTTCCACTCTGAGAGGGCACTTCTTTCTCAGATCCATTGTGAGCGCCTTCTGACCTCAGGGGCTCATCTTCCGGCATTGTCTCTGGCTAGGTTCTGCTTCTGTCCAGTAGGTTTTTAGGAACTGGCAATGTGTCGATGTCATCCAGAGGGTTTCCCGTGGCTAATTCTTCTGAAGTGGACAGGCTACTCCTTCTTTGTCTGCAAATGCTGCTGGACCCTGTTCACTTTGGGTGACCATGCTGGTATTTGAAATATCAGGGACATAGTCTTCAGCCACTACAGTACAACAAACTGACAGATAAGTGGTGGAAAAAATACAATAGCCATGCACAGACTATCGAATATGAAATAGGCATTGGGCTAAGCACTTAACAGACGTAGACCATCCCAGTAAAACCTCACAATGGACCACTCTCAGTAGCCCTGTTTTATAGATTAGCTCAACGAGGTTTAAGGAGAGAAATGACTTGTCACGTGGCTAACAAGTGGGTGGTCACCACAAAAGGCCTGAGCCCATTCAACCTCGAGTCAACACGTCTATGATTTTCTATAGTGTCTTTGCATTCAGGTGATTAGTATAATTCTACGAGCTTATATAATTTGATTATCTGTCATGCCTTTACTACTACCAACGGGTTCAACAGATTATGAAATCTGCATCCATTATCCTTGCAATGATAATGACTCTCAGCGGTAACGCCCATGGCTGGGAGCAGTTTTCAGCCTACCTGCTAGAGAAGGTTGGCATGTGACCAGCCTTCCCGGAGGTCATCCATGACCCTTTCTCTTTGCAGTCCACCTCTACAAGTGCGCAGCCCAGCGGGAGAGCTGTGGCCTCTGCCTGAAGGCCCACCGGAAGTTCCAGTGCGGCTGGTGCAGTGGCGAACGCCGATGTACCCTCCACCAGCACTGCACTAGCCCCTCCAACCCCTGGCTCGATTGGTCCAGCCACAATGTCAAGTGCTCCAACCCCCAGATCACCGAGGTGAGTCACCCGAGTTTCCTGACCCAGAGGGAACAAGCAGTAGCTGACCTCAGGGCCGTGAGAGAGGAGGCGTGTGCATCCAGTCTTGACGGATGAGTTTGGGCTTAGCTGCATGTCATGTGAGGGTGTAGAGAGGCCCCCGTGTGTAAGGGCCAAGGGCACAGAGTGGCGTCCGCATGCCTGTATGTGCGTGCATGTCTTGCGTGCGTGCGCACACAGTCAGCCGGGACTCCCTGCCAGGCGCGTGCACGGAGCCAGGTGGGGACAGGAAATTCGATCCGTGGTGGGTGAGCATTTCTCGGCAGAAATGTGATGGTTTCGGGGGCTGCAATTAGCTCAGGGTGGCAGAGTTGAAAACGGAAGGAGAAAAGTCAAGGCAGGCGCTGCATTAGCCACCACGCTGCCTCCCAAGGTTCGCGCCTTGCCCCAATTTGTTGGTGCGTTTTAATGGAAAGAAATAGGCAATTAATTATCCCGAGCGGGGAATAACATGATGGTTCCTGAATAGCAAATTGCAAAGGCAGATGAATAGATGATGCGGCTAAAAATGATGCAGCTGCTCACATTTGAAAGGCCGGCGAGAGGGAGAGTGGCTCTTCACGTTGGCTGCATTCTGAGCTCATCACTCCTCGACGCCCCCTCCCTCCCCCAAGTCACTAACTGCCAGTTGTGCTTTGAAATGAATCTCACATTTCTCGTTGGCATGAGGAATAAAGAAGGGAGCAGGGACCCCTTGGGGGTTGGAGTGCTTGAGAAAGCTGGGAGGAGCCGTGCCTTAGCTGCCTCTTGGCTGGGTGCAGGCATCCCCTTTTTCCTTGCCTTGGCTCCCCTACGGCCCCCCCAAATTCCACCCCACTTCTCCTCTGGGATGCACAGAGTGCCTGGAAATGTCACCATATTCTCTCACTGCCACTGAGTCCATTTCAGCTCGTCGTGACCGTATAGGGCAGAGTAGAACTGTCCCCATGGGTTTCCGAGACTGTCATCTCTATGGAATCAGACAGCCTCGCCTTTATCCCTCAAAACGGCTGATGGGCTCAAGCTGCAGAACTAGTGCTTAGCAATAGGGCCCCTTGGGAAACTTCGGTAGCATGCTTGTAATTGCATCGAACGTTCAGGTGAGTTAAATATATATATAAAATATGTATGTTCAAGATCAAGAGGGTATTGCCAACGTGGACCTGGTGTCAGGTGGGTCATCTGGAGAAGCAAGGTGTCTCCCCGAAGCCTCACAACCTAGAGAGCAAGTATTTTCATCTGCACTTTACACATGAAGAAGAGGAGGCTCCGAGAAACTCAACAGGTAACTTGCTCAGGATCACACTGCTGAGAAGTGGCAGAGACAACGTTCAAGTTCGGTGTTACTTAAGTACAACACCATTTCAAATCCTCCGCCCTGTGCCCAATGACATATCCAAACCTTTCCTGGCTGATAGAGACCAAATTGGAATGCGTGGGTGGTGTATCTGGACAGGTCGATGGTTTGAGCCTAGCCAGGTGTGCCTAGGAAGAAAGCCTTGGCGATCAGCTTCTGCAAAGTCACCTCTGACAACCTGCTGGAGCACAGTTCTTCTCTGATGCACATGGGACTGCCGCACGTTGAAACAGGCTTCCTGGCAATGGTTTATTTTGTGTTCTACGGGCAAGCGCGGTGTAAATCCATTCCTATGGCCACGTGTCCGTGGGAAAGTGCAGCGCTGTGGGAGAGTGTTTGTACATTCCATCCTCATCCAGGCAGGAAGCAGTTCTGTGGGCTTAGAGCAGTGGTTCTCAACCTTCCTCATGCTCAACCCTTTCAGATAGTTCCTCATGTGGTGGTGACCTCCCCCAGCCATAAAATTATTTTCCTTGCTACTTCATCACTGTCATTTTGCTACTGTTATGAATTGGGCGACCCCTGTGAGAGGGGTCACGACCCACAGGTTGAGAACCAGTAGTAGACACTGCCTCTGGGCTTCCTCATCCCATCTGATGCAGCCGGGGTCACACTGGGGATTCTTGCTTTGTCCTATCTGGCTGGAAGAGATTGCCCCAGCCCCTGCCTGCCCTGTGATGGCTAGCCCCCAGAGCTGCCCAGGGCTTCGTGTCTTCTCTGTGAGTCCGGCGATTTCTGGCAACTGCTGCCTTGAGAATGTGCACCCAGGAGTGGATTGCCCAATAAGCAAGTAAGCACAGACTAACTTGTGCTTACTCACTCATCCTTAGCGAACCAATTCACCTGGGCCTCCAAGTTGTCGTGAAAGTGTGGACTGTTGATGAATAAGTAAGCACAAGTAACCTGGCTGTGTGCACGCTCTCTAAGATGTGAAAAGAGGTGTTAATTCTGCTGGAAGGGGCAGTCGTGTTGGGAGAGAGACAGATGTCAGCTATACCTAGAAGGAGAACCTTTGATGTGGTGAAAAATATGTGCAGTTGTTCACTCTAGATTAGTATGTATGCACATGTAAGCCCATGTTTACTTTACTTGCTGGGTAATCCAAACCTGAGCATGGTTCTGGAATGCCTGCTGTGGTGTGGTGGTTTCAGTGAGGCAGCACTGGCCTCCGTCAGCACCTCCCACCTCCACCCACCCCAGCTGCTGCCCCTCCGACAGCCCTTGGGCTGAGGTCCACCCTTTCTCCCTGGAAACCCTGGGCCTTGGCCCTGCTCACTGACTGAGGACCAACAGGCTGCTCTGTTCACAGAGGACACCCAAACTGCATGGAAGCTAATTAACCCCCTGAGGTAATTAGGCGGTAATTGATTTTCCCAGGGAGCATTTCAGCGGGATTCTGACGCCCCAAGCAGTGGTGTTGCCTGATGGCGTTTCTCTGTCTCTCTTTCCATTTAAAAAAATTCAGCAGTTTTATTGACATATAGTTCATATGCCATACGATGACCGATGACATGGTTTGAATATGTTGAAGAGCATGTGTAATCATCACCACAATCAATGTTAGAACATTTTCTTCTTTCTTGTACTCATTAGCTCTCAATGCCCCCCACCCGCATCTTCCCCTGCCATAATCCTAAGAAACTATTAATCTAGTTACTGTCTCAATAAACTTACCTATCCTAGATTTCATATAAAGAAACTCCTACCAACAGAAGATAAATCTCAGTCCAAAAGAGAGCAGAAAATAGTACAAACTAGAATAAACTTAAAATGGGTCAAAAGGGAAAAGAAATAATAAAGCATTCCATTTTAACCCATCGATATCCACATGAATCCACTTTCCAACGCACTGTGTCCAAGGGCCGACTATTCATCCTGGCCGAGGGTCAGAGGGCATTCACCGGAGGCTTCGTCTGCATGTGGACTTTACAAATGGGTTTTGGGATTTCACTGTCATCCTTAGCCTTGTGCACACCAGACACTCAGAGTTTAAGTTTTAGTGGAACTCCCTCTTCCGATCTTGGATTGTATTATCCTGCTGGTGTTTCTCGGGTCAAAGGTGTCCAGTAGTGGAGCAGCGCCTTCGGTGGAAGAGACAAGCCATGCTTTCTTCTCCGTCACGTGCAGTAAAGGCAGTGTCCAGACCTGCAACTTACCAAGGCTTTCTTACTGCATCATTTTCTGTTCATTTTCATCTTTCCCCCCAAGCCTGGCCTCCTTTCCCCGATAAAAGTCACTTTTCTTTATTTCTTTTTTTATTTTTAACTTTTCACTTTTTGAAATAATGTTGCACTCAAAAAAGGGTACGAAAATAGCACAGAGAACTTTTATATACCCTTCGCCCAGATGCTCCAAAATTAGCATCTTACATAACCACAGCATAATTACCAAAATTGGGAAATTAGCATTGATCCAGCCCTACCCTCTAATCGACATGCCTTTTACATGCTGCGGATGCCCTTGCTCAGCTCCAGGATCCCATGCAGGGTCACAGGTTCTGATTCACTGCCCTGCTGTCCCGGTCTTTTAATCCTCTGTCTTCCGTTGTCTTTCGCGGCCTTGACCCTTTTGAAGAGTGCTGGCCTCATTTTGTAGAATATCCCTCAAGTTGAATTTGTCTCAGGCTTCCTCTTGATTAATTCCAGGTGAGGTTGTTTCACTTTGGGTTTTACAGGAAGCACTCGAATCCGTAGATGTAGATATTTGCTGGGTACGTGTCAAAGGGGCACAAACTCCCGATGGTCACATCTTGAGTAATGTTAGCAACAAAAGAATGACAATAATGGACTATGACCCATAAATTAAAGTCAGACTCCACAGCCCTTATTTTTCATATAAATAAGTGATTAAATAAGAAAGGAGAGAGGAGAAAGGCATTTTTTTACAATGGAATTCCAACTAGTTAAAAACAAACAAACAAGTAAATGCATGGCTATCAAGTTTTTTTCTGACTCACAACAACCCTATAAAATAGAGTAGGACTGTCCCTGCAGATTTCTAAGACTGTAGCTCCTCACGGGAGTAGAAGGCCTCTTCTCCAGGGGATCTGCTGGTGAGTTCAAAATGCCAAACCTGTGCTCATAGTGAGCCTAAAGGACAGACAGAACTGCTCCTATGGGGTTCTGAGACAGTAACTCTTCACAGGAGTAGAAAGCCTTGTCTGTCTCCCAAGGAGCGGCTGATGGTTTTGAACTGCTAACCCATGGTGCCTAATCCACTGTGCCACTAGGGTTCCTTCCCTCTTGTCTTTGGCCGTCATGTATAAATATGGCCTCTGTATCTACAGCATATTTCAAAAAGTTTGGGGGGGGGGGGTGGAAACCAAAAGAAAATTGAATTTTCCCCACAAACTACTTTTTGAAGCCCCCACCTACAGTTGCCTACTCTGGCCATGTTGCACCGGAGAGCTCTGTCTTAAGCCACGTGAAATCAGCAGAATGCTGCCACGTCCTTTGATGCCTTTGTCACTGGCCTTCTCTTCAAATGCCTTAGCCCACATCTGAGCAAGCCCAGGTACAAGCAAAGGTCACTTCTGACACAGAACCTTCTGGACGCGTGAAGAAAACATTCTATAAACCGTGATGATTGCTGGGGGTGCCAACTGTTCAATCCCGGAAGCGGGTGG